TAATAAGAGTTTACAGCTAATGTTTATCGTTTCTGAACAGTATTAATAATTCCGTATTTGGAACCTAATCCGGATTTTAGGGGAATATTAATGACTTGATGATATGAGGAATTAAAACTGTAAATTTTGGAAATAATTCAGTTTAAAGATTCGAGATTAAAAACTTTAAATGGGGTTAAATAAAGTCAACCAATATTTTTTTGTCAAAATGATTTAAATACATTTAAATGACTTTGATCATAAAATAATGATGCTCAACAAAATCCTAGCTATCTTTAATGTTTATCATGTAACCCAATTTCTTCATTTATCGGCATTATATTCTTTGACAATTTTCCACTCTTAGACTAGTAATAAGCCCCAACAAATGTCAGTCTATTGTGATTGAAAAAGGGCTTCTAGTTGAAAGTAATATCTGGTTAGATGAAAACTTATTCATAAAAAGTATTTCAGATAGTGAAAACATAAAGTATTTAGGTGTTAACTTTTCCTAAGGGGTCGTTTTTAATAAATAAATAATAATTAAACAAATCAAATCCCAATTAGAAAGACTAACATCGACTACATTACTTTTGTCTAGCCAAAAGTTTAATATAAATAATCAATGTATATGGCCAACGTTAATATATCCATTTCAAAATGCTCCACTCCATAAATTACCAGTAGCATTTTTAACTGACTTAGACAAACTGGTTAAAAGTAGGGTTAAAGAAATGTTAAGCTTACCAACTGACACTCCAGATTTCATGTTATTTAGTCCAAAAAAATATAAAGTACTTGGATTAATCAAGGCTCAATGGGAAACATATATTCAACAACTTAATTCTATACAAATACTCAGACGGGTTAAAAATTGTTATACAATAAATGAAGACAAATTTAAACGGATGGAAACAATTTGTTTAAAAAATTTACACCTTGAAGAAATTGATCGTAATCAAACAATAAATACCCAAAAATTAAGAAATAACTTAAGAGAAAAAGAGTTTGAAAATTGGAAAAGCTTAGAACAGAAGGGTAAAGGTGCTTTTCAAGGACTGTACTCCGGGAAATAAAAGTATTATTAATAAAGAAGGCTTGCCAGAATCTGAGTGGAAAGACAGTATAAAAATGATTGCAAATGTGGTGCCAGTGCGTGTTCTCCACGGCAGAAGTCAGGGCAATAACCGCTGCAGGCATGCCTGTGGTGAGATTGAAACCCTTGCACATGCTCTTGGCTTCTGTCCTTTTGGTGAACTTCTAAGAAACACAAGGCACCACAAAATAAGAAGTATCATAGCAAATGCCTTCAGAAAAAGGTATAATACATGGGAAGTGCAAGAAGAAGTACACTCTCTTTCTTCTAACGGAAGCACCAGAAGAGTAGATATTTTATTGATCGAAAGAGAAACTAACAAAGGCATAATTCTCGATCCAACAATTTGATTTCAAATAAACCTAAATCAACCTAATGAAGTAAATGAAGAAAATAAAAAAATTATGAATCTACCTTTGAATATTTCAAGCAAAATTTTAAAATTTCGAAAATTGATGTGATTGGATTGTTTATCGGTTCTACATAAGGAACATTATAAAACTTTTTTGTGAACTTTTGGAAACAATATGATTTGGACAGATCCTTTTTGAAAATTATTATTCATGAAACATTAAGAGGTTCATTGACCATGATTAGAAATCATCTATATGGCAAACATCAAAATTAATCATTCTTATAGCTGTATAATCCTTCAATATTTTAAGTGTATATTTTTTTCTGTGTCTACCTTATTTTTGGCAACCTTATTTTTTAATGCAGATGTATTTATTTTTATAAATAAATTCTTTTCTCTCTTCTAAAGAAATATATCTAGATATCAATATTAATGTATGTGTGTCTTGGTGATACTTAGGAGTGTAATTTATTTTGAGTGTTTTTTGTTAATTACAAAATTAGAAATTTCTGGTTTTGACCATCATTATATTTTACTACTCGTCTGGAAAAGTTACCCATTACGAGGCAAGATAGTGGATTCATAAACATAGAAATTATTGTGAATCACAATTTTCTAAGCTACATTTATTTTGAAGTATGCATGCATATGATAATAGATATTCTGTTTACTCATCTTACAAAAAAAAATATAAATGAAATAAAGTTTGGGATCAATTAGAGTTTTTAAAATTTTAGTAATAAAATAGATTAGTTTCTCGTTATTATAATACAAAACTTGAACATAAAACAATGCAGTAAACGTGTAATAGAAATCCATAAATAGTAAAGTTCTGAAAAAGGGTTGATAATTAAGTTTTAGTTTTAAAGCTCCTCGTGGAATTCAGGCAATCTTGAACGCTTCTTATATTTAAACTTATAAAATTACAAGACTTTGAAGTTTGTCCACGATATTATTTTTATTAACGTGAATCAATTTCAAAGTTATTAATGATCAAATAAAGCATAGTTTGAAGCTATCCAACCATAAACTTTTGATAGTTAAAACTAAAAGCTTAATGTAAATTTTATATATTTTAACATTTTTCACAGATCTTTGTAAAGCTCTGCCGAGTACCAATAGTAGTTTACGCAACGATCGCGTAAGGATATACTTTATGACACGAGTAGAAAATAGAAGTTACCAGCCTTGGCGAGAGATTTTAAAACTTCTACTAGTGTCGTAAAGGCTAATTACGACACTACACTAAGGGAGTATGTTTAATCTATGAATGAATGTTTAATCTAATCTACTTTCCCTACGTATCTACTTTCCCTAGTATTAAATGTCTACTTCTTTTCTCTCGTTCTTAAACCTTGTCAACAATAAACAAAATTTACAGTACCGGGATATTTTAAAGAAGAGGACCGCCGCTATTTACATTTCTTTCACTGTTTTACTGCGGGTAGTTTTGTTAGGTTTATGAAAATCAAGTGAACATTTCCAAATTGTCCGTGTACAATTTTCAGGTATACAAACTCTACGGATCGAGGCTGTGTATTTGTTGTTGCATGAGTCGTTGGAAGCTAACGGCCATCTTGGAAAAATGTTTATATGAGCTATAAAGTCTAGACCAAGGACTTTTAACACAAAAAAATAAATAAAAACATCATATAAACGTGGGTCTAAAGTTTCTGGTTTACCGTCTGTCTGTGATGTATACATTTAATGAATCCATAGTTTCTGAATTAAAAGTGATTAACTTGAGGATCAATTTACGGACAAAAGCTTGCAACTCGTCGACAAAATGTTGGAAAATATTGTCTTTTGTCACGAAACGTGTAAGCTATACTGAGCAATCTTAATCATTGAACTGTTTGACGTAGGAATGCAATCCTATTATTACAGTAAGTAACGATTAGACCCAAGACCAATTTATTCTTTCATTGCAATGGTCCCAGAGGTCAAAACATGTTTCGTGTTTTAAATTAAGGTAAACTATTTTCAAACTAAGCATTATACTTCGAAAAAATCGTATTTCTAAGCATTTTTTATAAGTTAATTGAGGGCTCTCGCAGATTTAGACTTCAACTTTTAGACTAAGTATTAAATTTGAAAACTGTTAGTCTTTCACCTAGTGTTTAATTGTTTAGCTTAATGTATTGGTTAGTTTCTAGCTGTTTATATTCTGCCGAAAGATATCAAATAGTAAACAGGGTTGAGTTAGGTAGAATTAATAAGACTAAGTAATTAGCTCTTCAACCCAAAGTAATTAATTACCTTCAGTACCTCACAGTTGCTTATGTCTCTCTTGCACTTAAGGCGATTCATTACTGGCAACATTACTTTGGCAGTAACTCTGAGAGGGGATATAACCTGCCAAAAGAAAAAAATACTATCGTCGAGCTCAGGGGAACTCCAGGTACAATATTATTAGATTGTAGTTCGCGTATTTCCCCCTAGGATTAGAGTAAGTATGTGTTAAATAAAAGCAATCCGATTTCTCTTTTATTTTATTTTTCTGTACGATGTGTATACAAGTAGGCCTAGTTATTACAGACACAAATGCAATGTCACAAACTAATTAAGTGACAAATAAAACTTTAAAGTTTTTCAAGCTTGAAATAAAATATAGATTGCCAATGTCAAATTTATTTAAGAAAGATAAAAATGCACCACCAGTATATTTCATAAAAGCATGACATTGCGCAAACCTTACTTTTACGTTAATTGTTCAAGATAATAGTGTACCATATCTGATGCGTAAATTGTATTCGATAAAACCATTGTAGTTTTTCCAAATTAAAAGTTTTAAAGTGGTCGTTGTAGTGGAGAGATCTTGGAAAACTTAAAAAGGGCAACGTCAGCTTAAGTTTAAGATTGTCCTTGGGTAATTTGCATTGATGACATTCATAAAACAGAGTAAAACTTTGATGATCGCCTTGACATTAATTAGATAGCAACTGGCCCCATCAACCTGGTCCGCAAAAAAGCTAGTAAATATAATCTTAGCGAGGCGTACGAGCGCATTCTGTGTCTGGCTCGCATATCTTGGTTCTTTTTTTAAGAAAAATTGGCGAGACCTGGTACCTGGTCCATATAGATAGGATGTCTACTTTGATATCCAACAGCCAATGGTGATATTTCCTGATTGTTTAATATAATACTATAACAATGCAATTAATTGTATTATACACCACTTGCTGATGGTTCATCAGGAATGCTTTTAAATAGGAAATGTTAGAATTTCACAGTGTGAATTATAAAAAAATAAATTTAAAAAACGGAAATAAGGGTAGATACAATTTGGCCTTCTTCAAAAGTTAATTAAATAACAATAAACAAATAGTAAATATAAATTCAACATCACCCTCTTAGACGAGTCTACAGTTTTAGGTCCTCTGTCTATCCAATGTCATCTTAATTATTTGACAGCTTATAAAATTCTTAATATTCATTATCATTTTGATTTCTTGACAGTTAAAAGAGGCGTTAATATTTTAGAGAGATAGCAGTAAACGCTTTATCAATATAGTATGAATTTTCCGTATGACAACTCTTAGTTTTTCAGAAACTCTTGTCGTTTTATCTTAACATTCTCTAGGGCCATTCATATCACTTACAAATATCATGTGCCGATAAACTGATTATCTTGTTGAATAATCATTCACCACATTGATGGTTTGAGGTAACAATTGGACATGAGGTAAGATTCGTTTTGCGTTCTATCAACGGTTTTTATGATTGAACTCATTTGATCACAATTTCCTATTGTTAGTGTTTAATTGTAGTACTGAACAAAGTCGTGCTCCTGCCCATGAATAATCTAATAATCATTCTTTCCGCATTGCAAGAGTGCATGAAAACTGTAGAACTTTATAATTCTCTTGTTATTCTCGTGGAGTAAAGTCAACTATTGTTCACTATGTGTATGGATATATTTTGAAAAAAATTGCAAATTTATTACATAAATTGGCCTAAAATGGGCCTTTAACCGTATCAAAGAGCAATTATGACCTTCAGACCCTTAAGAAATTTTGTTCCTTGAATAATCAAGAATACTTTAATAAAATACCTGATGCGCCCGAGACGTTAAATTTGGACACCCGTCTTTGTTTTGCTGTTTCTGTGGAAATTCATCTTAATTGCCATGTTTATTAAGTACCATTGAAGTATAGGCTACATTTATTTATTCACCAATTGTCCCCATGTATTTATTTTTAATTATTGGCTCAAAAACATTGCAAACATTTTTGACAGAAAACTTTGTTTCGCTATTTGTACTGTAAATATTTAATAAGAGGGATTCAAAAATTAAATCGACTATTTAATGAAAATCGTGTTGTTAGACCTTTATCCTTTTGCCCCTGAGGTCTTCGTTTATTTTATGCTGCACTATTCATATTTTATAAACAAATACTTTTTCCTTCCCTGTATCAGCAAATATTGCGATTTTATAAGAATAATTCTAAAATGTCAAAGGATAAGGTTTGGTTATAATCCAATCATACAAATGAAAATTCCCTAAAGGTTTTGCTTAGAGCGACAGTCGCTCAACGACGGTCAGCACATGGCCGTCGCGGGCTGCTCTAGCGGGTTTTACATACAGTAGTCCTGTTTTGCTTGAGTTAATTGTACAGTAGCTAGAGCCGCGAGCTGCAGTCGCGGGGTACAGCTCCAAGACCAGTCAGGAGCAACAGTAACTTTTTCGGAGGTATTTTCGTGACGACGTTGTAATTTTGGTTATTTCGGGCTATTACAAGTTATTTTAATATGCTTGCAGATTATTTAGATTGTAGAATTTTAAGACATATTCCCGCAAGACATAAGACATATATCCGCTTTGGGTGTCGAAATTGTTTCTGAATCAATTTTTATTTATCAAACTGGTTTACAAGTCAAGCGTGCCTTATGTAAATGTATAAAATGCCAATTATTACAGTAATGTGGCAAGAAGATATTCAAATATTAATTAATTCAAATATTTTTTATTTAAAATATTCATTTACAGTTATCAGCAGAATGTAATGTTTACTCTGCGAGAAGATCGTTTATAACACTGATTTACAATACAATTCAAGTGAAGCTTGTGTATTGCAAATTATGGTGGCGGGAGACAGTTGTTGCTCCAAGCAAAACGTACATTTAGTCTGCAGGTTTGTTGCGCCGTGGGTACTTTTACTTCCCTCCTATATAAAAAATAATGAACCTGTAACATAAAATATTTAATCCCTTACTAAAAGCAAAATTAAAGAAATATACGTATAGTATAAGTCTGTATTTCTCAAACTTCCAGGACCTTCCTGCTGGTACTGTTGTCACTGCTTGCTGGCTCTGAGGCTTGGCTATTCTCTTGGCTTCATTGGGGACGATGTCCTGAAATAAGTACAATCCCTTATATGACGTATTATATGGTAAGTGAACAAAACTAAGGAACCTCATCGTACATTTTGGTCAATTCAGGAAAATTTCTAGTTTATAAAAGTTATATTTGTCCAGTATGTTTTAATTTTTAGCTTAACCGATTTTTTTATTTATTCACCTTTACAGGTTAGTAAAATAAAAATATACAAGACCACACTCTTTTATCTCTGATTCTCCAACTTTCCTACTAGATAGAAGGCTGAAATTCATACTCATTTCTCAGGTTAGAAATAGGAATGTTATTTAGTTTTTATAATGATTTGACCAAAGGGTTGCCTTAAAGGGGAGGGGTTAAGCTTTCAATATTATCGAATACAATATTATAATATTGAGTCGGAATTAAATTTCAATATCATGGGGACAGTTGATTATTTGTTAGATATTGGTTTAACTTACATCCACATTATAGTATTCGTAATTTACACCTATACTTTTACTGTATTCAGTATACGTGTAAATAATATATTCCAAGAGGTATTTTTATTTATTCTCCATTTTAAAAACAGTAAACACGTAAAATGTTGATGGAGAAGTATTTGAACAATAAATCAGGCAAGAGTACGATTTAATTCCCCCAATGAAATTAAATGGACATTAGTAGGATAATGCAAGATGTCCAACCCAATACAAATATGTGTTTGTTCAACCATCGTGCTGAGTTATATTTATTTCACTATTATTATGTTTTCAGTACCTAAACGGCACATGGTACCTGAGGTCTGGATACAACATTGATCATCTACCAGGCACGGGACGCTGTGGATACTCACAGTACACCTACAACGACACCTCTGGAACAGCAGAAGTCAAATTCCGACATATGTCATCTTGGTAGGCTATTTTATTAAAACGTTTTTATTATGTCGCTTTCTTGTCCGCTACAAATTTTGCAACCGATTTTATACTAACTTCCCGATGAGCTAGGGACTTGAAACTTGAAACATATCTCACAAATGGAAGACAATGCAATATTATACAATTTAATTTTCATATTTCCCTTGGGCTACGCCCCATGGGCTTGTTTTTATTAAATCGATTTCTTACAAATTTTGATACTTCCCGATGAGCTAGAGACTTGAAATTTGAAACATAGCTCACAAATGGATGACATTGCAATATTATATCATTTAATTTTCATATTTCCTTTCGGGCTACGCCCCATGGGCTTGTTTTTATTAGCTTGCTTTCCTACAAATTTTGATATCAATTTTAAACGATGTAACCGATAAGCTAGAGACTTGAAATTTGAAACATAGCTCACAAATGCATGACAATGCGATATTATATAATTTAATTTTCATATTTATCTTGGGCTACGCCCCATAGGCTTCCAAATTTTTCATGTTTACATTTTGAAAGGATGTAAATATATCAACTAATTTAGGTCAGCTGTAAATACTTAAATTTGACAGTTCAAAAAGCAGAGGTTAAGAGGTACAGGTTCTGCTCCCAAGAGATTCTTTATACAAACAAACATTTCAAAATAAAGATAAACAATCTGATTGCAGATATAAAGGAGTTTGTTAATAATGTCATTTGTTATTTATTTAGTATTCTACAGGGTGGCGCAGATGGATCGGGTGGTTTTAAAATACTTGTCAAACTGTCAATTTTAAAGGTATTGGATTGAAATAAAGTGCAAAACGTGTAGTTACAATGGAAGTTTATTGACAAAAAATTTGTTAAGTTAGTTTTTAAAAATTACATCCATCTAATGCCTTCCTTCTCGAGCGACGCATTCTTGGAGTCGGTCCTTGAGGTTCCGCATTGCTCGCTCAAGCACATCACCAGGAATTGATGTGATTTCGTTGTGAATTGCAGCCTTCAATTCCTGAAGCAAGGGTCTACATGAACAAACCCCGGACCATTTAGGAATTGAAGGCTGCAATTCACAATGAAATCACATTAATTCCTGGTGATGTGCTTGAGCGAGTAATGCGGAACCTCAAGGACCGACTCCAAGAATGCGTCGCTCGAGAAGGAAGGATTTTGATGGATGTAATTTTTAAAAACTAACTTAACAAATTTTTTGTCAATAAACTTCCATTGTAACTACACGTTTTGCACTTTATTTCAATCCAATACCTTTAAAATTGACAGTTTGACAAGTATTTTAAAACCACCCGATCCATCTGCGCCACCCTGTATAAAGTAAACAATAAATCAAAAAGATTGATATATTTATAGTTAGTAGGTAGGCCATACATGCAATCTAATACATAATTATATGCAAAGAAACTTAAATAAACCTTAGATTTCCCACATGCCTCTGTCTTAATGTGATATAGACGCTTGAAATAGATTTAACATGCACACACATTAAAACTAAAAAGTATAAAATAATTTATAAATAAAAAATCTTTTTAAACAAAACGTTTTTAAACGCCCTAAAAAGTAGAAAATAATTTACAAATAATTTATAAATATGTTGAGAGAGTATAAATACTTGTACGATTTAAAACGAAAAAAGCGGGGTGCATGCAATAGATAGTTTACAATTACCTTCACCTACTGAACTAATGTATTATTATCAATTAATTGCATATGTAAGCAACGTTTTTACCAACGTTTTTCGTTTTAAATCGTACAAGTATTTATACTCTCTCAACATATTTATAAATTATTTGTAAATTATTTTCTACTTTTTAGGGCGTTTAAAAACGTTTTGTTTAAAAAGGTTTTTTATTTATAAATTATTACATTGTTTAAATGCTTATTTAGGAATCATTAGGAATTTTTAACTATGATTAAGAAAAACGAAGCTAGGAATAAAACATTATTGGGTGGGGTCATAGACTTCAAAATTCATCAGCTCTAACCGCCACGCCAGTTCGAGGGATTCGATTTGTGAGTAAGTAGAGGTAAATGTAAATGTAAATGTAGAGGTATAAAGTAACCTTTCCAAAGTTGTTTAAGATGATCTGGATGGATATGTAACGTGGATATGTCCTAAGGTTAAATCTGAAACGTTTAACTGGTGAAACGTTTGCTAGGTGCAGTGGCTTCTCCCTGCCTACTTCGAACGCTTTGGGTTCATCAAAATAGACCCTGACTTCTGCACCATTTTTAGTAACTGTTAACCTTTATGTGAATTTGACTCATCAAGCTTAACAAGCGATTACACAAATATTTAATTATATTCAGCTACAAATTGTCATAACAAGTAAATAAATAGCAAATTGATCTCTGATTTTTGTGTGAAGATGAACTACATAGAAATTGATAACCATGAGGCCACCACTTCGATGTATATACTTGAATTTGAAGTATATTCATGCAACCATTTACAGGTTGAACCGTTGGGAGTCTGTCAATGGAACTATTGCACAATCTCTACCTTTAACGTATGGAAAGATGACCTTAGACATTCCCAATAGATGGGGTGAGTACTAAACACCTTTATTGACACTTTAATACATATAATGAACAACTCTGTCAAACAACACAGTAATCTGTATCCTGTGATAAAATACAAACTACACAGTGGTTATCATGTTGTTGGTGCAAGTCAAATGTCCCAACTCCTTGTGATCCATGGCGGATATAGGTCATTTTCCTTACCATGTCTCCTTGGTTTTTTAATACTGTGTAAGATAAATTTGAATCTAATGCCCAACAGGCTTCCAATATGATTAAATGTGATGTTATTAATCAAAATAAGGTGATCGGATGAAAATTAATAAACTTTATGAGAACACGTTATTGTAATAGACCACGTCAACTTGGAATAAATGACATTAAATTTAATAAAGAAACATTTTTAAGTGATGCAATGATTTTGATCTAATTTAGCTCGTCTTTTCCTTTTGTGTATCCTACCCAATATCTGACGAAAGTTATGCTATGCCAATAGAAAAATTCCATATCATAGTTTTATGTATCAGGGGTTTGATCAAGTAAAACTCTGAGCTTAAATTTGCATGACTCACACAGCTGTTACATGCCTCAATGTTGTTTAAGTTAACTTGAAACCCAATATTTTTCGGGAAAGTCTTACATCAAGGGCTTTCATTCAAGTAGGCCTATGCGGTTGATAGGTGTGCGGCTGACGGTTTTCCCAACAGTTCGTGATCCTTGGTAGCTTTTATATAGAAAAGCCACTTTACGATTTCTTGTGTAAATTATTACTAACGAAAAGATCTGTTTCTGTAGGTTTCTGGGACGAGACAATGCCCTACTGGGTGCTTGACGAAGTTCTGGCAGATTATAGCATTGTGTACAGTTGTAAAAACTTCCTGTTCAATTTTTATTCTTGTGAGTATATATAATATAGGTAACAATAATGGTATTTTAGTATGTACTGGATCAAAGGCATGATATTTAACGAATATTGTCTAGTTTTATGTTTGAGGTGCATTCTCACTGATACACATAGCTGTGTAGCTGAGTGGTTAAAGTGCTCACTAAAGTTACTAGTAATCAATTGGTCACCGGTTCGATCCTGAGAAAAGATGGTCGAAACTGGACCCAGCTGTCCTTGAACATTGGGCTGTTAATCAATGGTCCTGGCTAATGAAACCGTGGTCGTAGTCAGTAACAAAGCTACACAAGGTATCTCGCTCCATTCTTCAAACATATTTGGGTTAAAATACGCACCTAGGTAGCGTCCATCTCAACTGGTTATAATAAAAGTAATATTATTTGTTGTTACAGACAGCAGTTGGATTTTGACTCGATCGCCAATCAGAGATTTGGCAGACCTTGAAGAGGAATTGAAAACTTACAACCTAGACCCAAACAAATTTGTTAAGTACGACCAAACTAATTGCCCTCCTCATTACTAAACTATTAGTACCATTTTTGTAATCTGTTAAGGGGGTAAATGTCTTTAATATTCTCAATCAAATGTGGTAAAATAAGAAGTTGTGCCAAACCTTACCAATTTTCAGTGTATAATAGTATAATAATAATAGGTGTATGTATTGCCTACATTACCTTGAATCGTGCTAAAATAAAAAATAATCTATGTATATTCAAAGCAGCATTTTGTCTATACCTACCTTAATGTCCTATTTTTTTAACATTCTAGTGTTTATGATAAACCCTGTAAAAGCTACAGTTATTAAAGTTTCCAATATTATTGTTAAAATGATCCATAAGAAGGGCGCTGGAAAAGAGGGGCAGGTGGATTTTGCCCCCCCCCCCTGGAGCATAGATTTTTTCAAATAATGGTGAATATGGGTAGAAACACTTCGGCACTTCACACAATTATACAGTGCCTCCCAAAATTACCTTGTTATTATTTTAATTTGACTTTAATGTTCATACAGCACTTAGGACGTGTATAGTTCCATCTTCAACATTTGTTTGCGTCACTAAATTGAACATAACTGAATTCATTTATCCAATAGCAAATTTATCCTATAGTAAAATAGTGTTATTTTACTTTAGGATACAAAATGTACTTGCAGTATCTAAAGTCAATGTTAGAAGAAAATATAAGTAGCAACTACCTCTATGTAAAATACATCATATTAACGTAAAATCCAGTAACGTAAACATTGACGTTAGAAATTGTGTAACAAAATTGAACAAAGTAAACTTTGTAACTAACGGTTTTTAACAATATATGGCTCGACTGTAAAAATGCTTATTATCTTATTCACTAATTAACTAGGTGTAAAATGCAGTTTTCTGCTTGCAATATTGAGCGGAGCTAGCATATTAATCCAATAACTTCCCAAAAGTCATTGCTATCTGGTTAAACTAAATGAGATGTATACTAAGTCAATGCTAAATCTAGTTCACTTAAATGATGCGACGCTCTTTCCTGCACTGGAAAAATATTACAAGTACCGTCGCAAATGTTTGCCGAGGATAGCTCAGCCTACAATGGCTGGGTGAAATTCCAGTGTCTGCGATGAGGAACCAATAGGCCAAAAGCAGATGTCTAGCCGGTATAGAGCTGGCTCATACACGGACACTGTGAACAAGTAAAAACAAGTCACCGTGAAACAAATGTGTAATAATCACCACAATTATGCTGTTGTAATAATCACCACCATTGTCGTTGAGCTGTTGTACAATGAGATGTCTCCTTACAGTATTCAAAGTAATTTGTACATCTGCTTCACAGAAATTGGATTGTCTACTTATGTTTCTCGTAAATGAGATATCTACTTGCAGTATCCTTATAAGTAGGCCACGTCAAGGACTGTTCACACCGGCGTAGCCAGACGTATTAATACGTTTTCGAAATACGTAGCTGACGTAGCTCTTAATGTAAAGGACTGTTCACACCGGCGTAGCCAGACGTATTAATACTTTTTCGGAATACGTAGCTGACGTAGCTCTTAATGTAATTCATAGAGAGTGTTCACACCGGCGTATTAATACGTGAGCTACGGAAGCTACGGCGCTGCCGCTACGCCGGCTAGCTACGCGTAGCTCGCATCGCCGAATACGCGCATGCGCACTAGCACACCGGACTGTCACCGCCACCCTCCCTCCACCTTATAATAAATTTATTTAAGCGGTAAATGTTGGATTATAACACAAAAATTAAGAATCACTTTAAAAAATCATTAAATCACTATAACAGGTTTATACTCAATGCTATAACATAACAACCAAGAAAACTTTATATGATCAATATAATAATACTTCATCATACGAGTACCTAATGTTCACTAACATTTTGCTTGTAAATCTCCTTATCAAAAAAGTCGTCTCTCTATGGCTTATTATGGTTCATATTGTGGGCTGATATTTATGAAACATTAATGAATTATTTTTAGACATAGGCCTACGTCTTACTTACACCATAGAATATTTTATCATGTAATCCATGGATGAGCAAAATTATTGCATGTTTTCTGATAATATTTATTTTATATTATAATATATCACAAGTTTTATAGTCTACTACTGTATATACGGCCTAAAATTAGAGTGAAACATGTTTATCAACATTAACTCATTAATCAACAGACTTTTCAGGATATACTATAAAAGCAGCAATTGAACCGTGACAATCTTAACTGAAATCCATAAAACGCTAATAAAAATAAACAATAAAATTACCAAATATAAAATAATATAATAAAATAAACCAACAACAGCCGGCTCACCGGCTACGTAGCCGTCAGACGTAGCTGCGGTGTGAACAGTGCACGGTCAACGTATTAATACACCGAATACGTCTGCAGACGTCGGGCTACACCGGTGTGAACAGGCCTTAATTCATAGAGTGTTCACACCGGCGTATTAATACGTGAGCTACGGAAGCTACGGCGCTGCCGCTACGCCGGCTAGCTACGCGTAGCTCGCATCGCCGAATACGCGCATGCGCACTAGCACACCGGGGCTGTCACCGCCACCCTCCGTACACCTCATAATTAATTTATAAGTGGTAAATGTTGGATTATAACACAAAAATTCACTATAATTAAAAAAAATCATTAATTCGCGTTAATCTATCACATTCAAATTAGACTATAACATAACAATCTTAAGACAACTTTATATGATCAATATAATAATACTTCATCATACGAGTACCACTATTTTTTTGTTTATGCTTGCAAATCTCCTTATCAAAAACAATGTCTCTCTCTTAATATGGTTTATTGTGGTTCATATAATGGGCTGACATTTATGAAACGTTAATGAATTATTTCTAGACATAGGCCTACTACGTCTTTTTACCTACACCATAGACTATTTTATTATGTAATCCTTATGGACGAGCAAAATTTTTGCATGTTTTCTGGTATTTTTTTTATATTGTAATATAGTGCAAATCTTATAGTCTACTATATACGTCCTAAAAATTAGAGTGAAATGTTTTTGTCAACATTAACACATTAATCAACAGACTTTTCAGGGTAGCCTACTATAAAAGCTGCAATTGAACCGTGGCAATCTTAACTGAAATTCATGAAACACTAATAAAAATAAACAATAAATTAACAAATATAAAATAATATAATAAAATAACAAACGACAGCCGGCTCACCGGCTACGTAGCCGTCAGACGTAGCTGCGGTGTGAACAGTGCACGGGCGACGTATTAATACACCGAATACGTCTGCAGACGTCTAGCTACGCCGGTGTGAACAGGCCTTAGTGAATACAGTAGTTCGTCTGGTTCTCATATAAATTAGTTAGTTGTCTACTTGCAGTATCGAATGTCAATGGTATTTTTGGTTCACATAAATAGAATGCCTTTTTGCTTTATCCAAAGCCAATGATCTATTTACATAAATGAGATGCCTTTAGCAGTATCCAAAGTCTGGTTCATTTAAATGGAATATCTATTTGCAGTATCCAAAATCAATAGTACTTGTGGTTCATGTCAATTTGATGTCTATTTGCAGTGTAAGTCAATGGTATATTTTTGGTTCGCATAATTGAGAAGCCTATTTGCAATATCTAAAGCAATGGTATGTCTGGTTCACGTCAAAGCGATGTCTTTTGGCAAGTCAATGGTATATTTCGTTCGTAACATAAATTAATTGCCTATTTGCAGTATAACTTCTTGATCAGCATCGTACGTGTTACTAAATTACCTGAAAAAAAGCAAAAATATATACATCCAATAACACTTGTAATAATATGTTTGCAATTATACTGTTGACTTACAAGACGGTAAATAAATATATAAGGTGGTAAGTGGTGATCGATTTCGATTGGACACTCGGGTCTGATGATGATTGGAGTGTCCAACCACTTACCAACTTTTATTTACCGTAAGTCAACAGTATAAGTGTAAATATATTATTACAAGTGTTATTAGACGTATATATTTTTGTTTTTTTTTTCAGGTATTTGCGGTATCCAATGTCAATGTCTGGTTCACGTAAATAGAATGTTTACTTGCAGTATCTAAGGTCAATCGTATCATTGGTTCACATAAATGGAATAGCTATTTGGAGTACCTATCTAAAGTCAATGGTGCATTACCCTAATTCCAGCGACACTAATTAGTTATGTAGTAAATTATGCTCAACAGCTCAACTATATTAATAACATCGTTCTTTCCTTTCGTTCTGTATTTGTAATGTGCTAGCACGGAGCATTGCTCGTGGTGTTTAATTTGTTTGGCAGGTTTAAAAAAATTACATATTTGCCTAACATGTTTAGTTTCTATAATCTAATATATAAAATTCTCGTGTCACAGTGTTTGTCTGCAAACTCCTCCGGAACGACTTCACCGATCGTTATGAAATTTGGTGTGTAAATTCTGTAGGTATGCGAATCGGACGTAAACTATTTCCCGTTTCGAAATTCTTAAAAGGGCTCCGCCCCAGTGGCTCTGGAGTTTCCCATGTTAACCTTATGAGAAATGGAATTAATGAATCTTAACAGCTGTTTCAATTAAACAAGTTGGTTCTGTTCTATGATGTTCAATAGCATTAAAGTTACAAGGATTACCAACAGGGTGCAGCACTATTATTTCTTTTACATTTATGACAACAGCTAATTTGCAACCAAAAGGTGAGTGAGCGTAGCGAACGAACTTCAACCTGGAGGCGAGTTAGCGTAGCGAACGAGCTAACCTGAAGGCAAGTGAGCGCAGCGAACGAGCTCCAACCTAAAGGTGAGTGAGCGTAGCGAACGAGCTCCAACCTAAAGGTGAGTGAGCGTAGCGAACGAACTTCAACCTGGAGGCGAGTTAGCGTAGCGAACGAGCTAACCTGAAGGCAAGTGAGCGCAGCGAACGAGCTCCAACCTAAAGGTGAGTGAGCGTAGCGAACGAGCTCCAACCCAAAGGTGAGTGAGCGTAGCGAACGAACTTCAACCAGGACGTGATTGAAAATGCGAACGAGATCATCTTGAAAATTAAACGTAACGGTACTTTCTTTCCATCGGTCTGTCTTAGGGGAAACCTATAACTTAGGCGATACGAAGTTCGCCGGGTCAGCTAGTATTACAAATAATATTTTATTGCAGTAAATAACACAAAATGTTATTAGACTCTTCTTTTGTTTTCCTTTTTTATGGTTGTTGCAAATAATGTTATGGCGTCAATTTCACCCATAAGGTCCATGTCAAATTTCTAAAAAACTAAAACCACGTTCATAAACACCCTTTAGTCCGATTTGTACCAGATGTATATCAGATTTCAGATGTATATACATTCATGAGGAGTTCTACATAACGTGTATAGAAATATACATACAATTTGAGTTATAATTTAGTTAGTATAGTATTCGTCCTAAGAAAGTTTGACAATTTAACAAGAAATTTTACTAAGAAGATTTGACACGATAGAGGAAGCCATAATCAGTGTGAGTGAGTGTGGACCAATGAGCTATCTGGATAGCACTAGTATTTCAGATTTAGATTCTAGTCCCCCCGACAGCGCTATAAAACCTATGCTCGTCGTAAGTCAAGCTAGCGCTGTCGGGGGGACTAGAATCTAAATCTGAAATATTGAATTTTCAAACATAAAAGGCACATTGGTATCTAATTCATAAAACTTCATTTCAACCTATCAATCATAATTTAACGTACCCAAACGGTAATTGTTTTAAATTATACGTTTTACGAGACTGTATGATAATGCGTTTAAAGCCTAACCAACATTAGGTTTCTTCACGGGAAGTCGAAGGAAAAGATTTCAAGGGTAGTCTCTTTTGTTCCATTGTAATGATTTATATGAAAATTAAAATAAATAAACAGCAAATTCGAAGAACTTATCCCCAAGAGACGCAATTCTGGGTCACCGGAAGAATGCCCCCGGACAACTGCCCCCAAAGCAGGTTCCTGCGTCATGTTGCCGTCAGTGATCAGGGGGGAGGGGTAGTTTTACAGTCCACAGACACTCAAGTTTCGTTGTCATACTGTTCTAAACTAACCTAACCAACCAAACTTGTTGTAACATTTCAAAATTCTGTATGATATCCCCGACACGCCTTTTCTGTTATCAAACGGAATTACTCGAATTAAAATTGCAAAGAATAACATTTTGCTAGGTGGCGGGTAGTATTCCAGTCGCGGACACGAATCCCATATTGGTTAGTTGGCAGATTTCGTGACGTTGCGTTTCACCTGTGAGGGGGTGGTTTTACGGGGGGTAGTATTCCGCATCCCCGCAATTGTCTGTTCTATCATTGATTATACATCTCCCAAGGTGCTACCTCCAGATACGATGAAATTATAAGCTCAATAATAATCATTTTTTTATGAACTTGAAGGTTAGATAGGGCGCATAGCATAGCAGCACCTCTGCAGTCTGCAGCCTACCTGCACTCTGCATCTCGACTCGATCTCAGTCACTCCACTCCACTCAGTCAGTCAAGTCTCCTCTACTCAACGTCACTCTCACATAACACTCAACACTCCACTCCACTCAACTCATTTCAACTAAAAAAAATATTTTTGTTGTTGCCGTCGTTCTATTATTTTATTTATTTCTGAAATAGGCTATGAATATTAGCATTTCATGAATAATTAATGGTTTAACTACTTTCTAAAAGTGAAAGATTCAAATAATAAAGAAGTACCGTAAGTAAGCCTATTAGTTGAGTGACAGTAGGCTATGTTGTTAGGCCTAGTTTAAGTTTAGTTTATGCCAGTAGGCCTAAGTTCATGATTCACAATTTATCACTTAGGCCTAGATGGTTAATTTTTTTTATTCATTTCACGGCAATGCCATTTACAATAGGATAAAGAGTTATATAAACAATGTTAATCGTATATTAGATAATCTAATAGGCTACATAAAATAGGCTAGTTTCAATAACAAATGCTAAATAGCCCATATGAAATTTCTCTTGCACGATGTAAGTTACTTATACAATAAACTTACAGAGAAAAAAATCTTTTCAGATACAAGAAGAGAAAACAAGTTAGGGTAGGGCCTACCGTAACAGTAACATTAAATTAAATAAGTATAACAGTACCGTATGGTAAGCTTACAGTAGCCTACATGTATAATGGTAAACCTTATTGACATCTTCACTAAGCCTAACCAGGCATAGGCCTAACACCATTCAATCCTAATGCTGAACCTATTGAAATATCACACATCTCGTAAGTGAGTCACTCATCAATGGAGTCTTCCCAAATGCATAGAAGCAAAGTAGGCTATTGTCAGGCCATTGCCAAGAACAGCAGCTGCACCATTGGTAGAAAAGCTTAGACCAATATCAATTCTTCCAGCAATAACTTATCAAAAATATTAGAGAAACTAGTGATTGACCAAATATCCCAATTTATGAATGACAATAAAATAGGCCTACCTAAACTACAGTCTGGTTTTAGAAAAAAATCATAGCACATGTACGGCTTTGACCAATTTAAGTTATTCTGTGACATGATTGATGCCAAGGACCAAGGGAAACGTATCTTACCATGTTATGCTTGATTACTCCAAAGCATTTAATTTTATGGACCATACTAAGCTGATTGCAAAAATGAAATATAAGGGTTTTAGCGATAGAATCACTACCTGGATTCACTCTTACCTTATTACCTGAATTACCTGAATTACCTCCCTCGACGTCCATGACCAGCTCTTGCTGGATAGACAGAGTCAAACTATTTACAATTTATATATATATATACATATTTACAAATTTACATTTTGCAGTTTAGGCGGCAGGTTAGACGCATATTTCAAAAAATTCGTCCAGGGAGTACATGGGCCTTGCCAGTAGCCACTCTCTCAGCTGATTTTTAAAATCCTGGGCTCGAAGGTTTTTCAAGTATTGGGGCAATCGGTTGTACATCCTAACAGCCAACATAGGGAAACTGTTCTTTTTTTTATTCAGTCTGCAGTAAGGGATATCAAGGTTGTATTTTGACCTTGTATTGTGGACATGTAGGTCTTCTCTCAATGCATAACTGGCAATGTTGGTCTTTAAGTCATTTAGGGTGATAAGGATGTACTGATTATATACTGTTTGGATGTTAAGGTTTCTGAAAAGGGGTCTACAATGTTCGTCGTAGTCAGCAGATGAAATGACTCTAACCGCCTTCTTTTGTATCAGAAGTACATCCTTACAACCAGCTGCATGGCCCCAAACTTCCAACCCATAGCTGAGATGGCTGTGGAACAAAGCAAAGTAAACAGTCAACAAATACTGCTTTGTCAGCATGGGTTTGAGCCTCCTGAGGAGATGTAATGCCCTCGCAAGCCTAGTGCAAACTTTTGTCGTATGATTTTCCCAGGTGAGTTTGGGGTCGATAGTGAAGCCCAATAATTTAACCTCAGGCAGGTTGCCAGGGATAGGAATTCGAGACAGACTACAGGTCATGTGTTGGGTTTTACCTTCATTTAGGCAGAGCTTGTTTACTTTGAACCAGTTCTTAGTAATCTCAAAAGACTGTTCAGTTTTGACCCTGGCCTCCTCAGGAGTACTTCCTTCTGCAAAGATGGTCGTATCGTCTGCAAAAAGCAAGACGTTACCAAGCTGCCCGAGGTCGTTCACCATCACCAAAAAAAGCACAGGGCCCAACACAGATCCCTGGGGCACGCCATGTTTAACTGGCAGTGGTTGTGAGTTTGCCCCTCTTACAGCCATTATCTGTGTTCGATTTGAGAGATAGGATTCAAAGGCATGCAGTGCTGGCCCCCTAACACCATACAAATACAACTTGTCTAGCAGTTGATTGTGGGGAACGCAATCAAAAGCTTTACTTAAATCGGCTAGAGTCAGTGCAACTGTATTTCCCTCTTCAAAGGCATCGACTATTTTAGTGACAAGCTTAAGAACTGCAGTATTGGTGGTTCTACCACTCCTAAAACCATGTTGAGAGTCGCTAAACAGACAGTTTGATTCAAAGTGCTTAACAAGTTGATTCTTTAATATGGTTTCATAAACTTTTGCGAACATAGGCACTATAGAGATAGGCCGGTAACTTCCCATATCTTCAGGGTTACCCTTCTTAAAGATAGGTACGGTTTTAGAGACTTTCAATGCATCGGGAAAAACCCCATGGGTCATGCAGACATTGAGCACTTTTGCGAGGGGTTCAGCGATAATATCGGCAACATGTTTCAGAACAATAATGTTTATACCATAGATGTCTTGACTAGTCGAGTTCTTAAACTGTCTAATTATTTTGATGATAGTTTGAGGCGTTACATAGAACCAGTCATTTAGGAGGTTCACAATAGGCTTGTTCGGTACTTCCGTTCCAGTGTTTACATTACTGACAATTATTGAGTCTACGATTTTGTCAATTTCCCCAAGAATATGTTTGTTAAATTCATCAGGATTTGCAGTAGGCCTACACTTGAGAGTTGTGGTTTGTTTTGATACACTATTCACCAGATTCCATGCTGCCTTGCAGGGATTTTTGGCAGTCTCAATACCAATCATGTTATTAAGTTTCTTTGCCTCATCCACCTTTGCTCTGTACAACCTCTTACTTCTAATGTATAAACTAAAAAACCTATTTCTGTCTATTTCATCAACAGCGTACTTATATCTATCGCTAAACGCCAATACAAATTTCCTCAGTTGAACCAATTCAGGTGTGTACCAAGACTTGCTACCATTATGTTTAGGCCTACTCTTGGTTGGCCTAGGCTTACCAGTAGTTGATGAAGGTTATGGGCTTAGGCTTACGTCCAGGCAGTATTTTCTGAGGAAAGACCTGGTCAAAAGAGTTCATAAAAATATTAAAGAAAGAGTCAAAAGCTATAATCGGGTCATTAGTCTGAATTTCTGCATTCCAGTCTTTACACATCAAGGATAACCTAAGGTAACCAAACTTATCTTCACTAATAGGTCTTATAATCTTACTATACATAGCAAACCAAGGTAGGAAATCTGGGTTACTCACCCTTTGAGATGGGACATCCAAGATTACCGGGCAGTGATCCGCCACTATCGGATCAGCAACAGTAGTCGCACAAGTCCTGGTGTCAAGCGAAGTCGCAAAGGTGTCCAAACACACAGGGCCACGTGTGGGAGTACGGCTTGTCACAAACAATCCATGGCTTTTTAGAACAAAGACAAACCTATGGGTCTTTGTTTCATCTTGGTTTAGATGGATGTTGAAGTCACCGCCCAGTATTATTGGAGTGTTGAAATGAGCCAACCAGGTCAAGCATCTGTCCAAATTTGTGAAAAAAGTATCAATATCCCCTCTAGGGGGTCTATATACAGAAATAACTAAAAGTGAGAGGTCCACCAGTTCCACTCCTGTGAGTTCAAAGTCTGTTTCAGTACAGAATACACTAAGATCAATCTTCTTATATTTAATGGTATTAGCCAGATAAATCGCTACACCACCATTCTTATGTTTAGTTCTATATAGGCCACTGGCCAAAGACAACGAGTTTATCTCACTATAAAATTCGGCCTCACTCTCTTCTAGCCAATGCTCACTCAAACATAAAACATCAGGAGATACATCATTTAAGAATAGAGACATCAAGTTAATTTTTGTCCTAAGGCACTGCACATTGACACAAGCCAGCCTAAGTTCACTTTGACTTACTCTAGGCCTACCCTCCAAACATCTATTACCAGTCCTAATAGAAGGTAGGTTAGGCCTTATCGAACAACTGCAGGGTTCCAGATAGGTTAAGTGAAACATCTGAACCCCTTGTCAAAAAACGGGGCGTTCCTCAAAGTAGCTGTTTGGGGCCTGTACTTTACACGCTTTACACAGCTGACTTTCTCAGTTGCACTTGTCTTAAGATCACCACTGATCTGGAGAACATCTCCAAATGGTCTTACATTAATGGGCTTAGGCTGAACCCAGACAAGTGCACTTTTTTTTTAGGGAGAGGTGGGAAAAAGGCATTTATGCACACATCAAATCAAATCAAATCAAATCATTTAATCAAATCAAATTATTTAATCAAATCAAATCAAATCATTTATTGTCCATTTCACATAGGTGGCTAGCCTGTAGTGTGGGACTCCAACGGGCTTAAGGCCCAGAGACTACCCACTAAAAACCTCTACTCTTCGGACACTAGCCTGGGAACACTTGTCACAGTTTATAGTGAAATCCGAACCACATTTTTCCTTGTAATTTACGAATTGGTCTTAATTATCAGGATAGTACTGCGGATATTATTCTTGCCACATCTGAAAAGTGCGGGAGCGCTCTTCCGTTCTTGCAGCATCCTTTCCGATGTAGCCCAGACAAGTGCACTGTACTTCATACTGCACCTAGTAAAGACACTAAGTTAAAAGATAATGGCTGGAACATCAATCTTGATCATGGCAGGAGTCTGGCGGTCTGTGACAAAGCCAAAACTCTTGGCGTCATTGTTGACTGAAATATGAAATTAAAAGATCACATCACACATGCCTCTCAACAAGCAATAGGAAGACTGAGAAGTCTGTACAGGTTCAGAGCTATGCTGTCTGAGGCTAGACAAAGCTTCAACTCATGCAGTCACTGATATTTTGTCAGTAGTTTACTAAGTTACTGCTTCCCTGCATATGGCAATAGTATCACTAAGGAAGACATGTGCAGAATACAGCAAATTCAAAGCTCAGCAAGCCGATTTGTACTCTGCCTTAAAAAAATGTCCTATCATGTTTCCCCCTTCCGTGAAGCAGCCAGCATGTTGCATATGGAAGCCATGTGTAGGTGTTTGACGTGCTGCATGACTCAAAGGGTACTGACTCTCCGTGAGCCCGACTATCTTTGCGAGAGGCTTTCTATCCGGGATGAGATCATACAACGTAGGACACGTCATGGTGGGAGGCTTCACTTTCCAAGGGTCACCTTGGAATTGGGAAAGAAAAGTTTCTCATATTTTGGACCCACATTGTACAACAGTCTAGACCCGAGAGCCTGAAAACCGTTGCATCCAGCAATACCTTTAAGATTACGCTTAAAACGTTCTTAAAAGATATAAATGTTTAGTTGTAAGTACAGTAGTTTGGGCCTAATGACAAAAGTTCTTCTGAAAAACTGATAAGTTATGTACCTATTAGAGAAACGCTGGCTAAAAAAGACATTTTCATTATTTATTTATTTTATTTTATTAGGTACTTGAAAAGACCCATAACAGAAACTCAATATTTATGCTACATTCAGTATTTTATCAAACTAATATTTTATCCGATAACATATCGTAGATTCTCTGGAAAACTGTACCCTTCAGTGGCAGCCTATGGATTCATTCTATGAACAGAGCTTTAGAGCAAAGTTAAAGTGTGAGTTAGTAAGAGGAGTGTAAATGCCTTTTACACACGAGCCCCATATCCTTTGTTGTTTGATCTTACCTTAAGCCTGGTAAGCTAGGTACATATTTTACATAGGTATTTTAAAGATTAAATAATAGCTTTCAATATCATGTTTGGGCATGTTAGTTTAGGCATAAAGAAATGGTTCTATCTTAATTCTGAAAGACTATACTCCGTTCTCAAAATTTAAGTTAGGCGGTTTTTGGAGGAAGAAATCTCTTCCCCTCCACTTGATCCTACCTTTAAAACAATAGCTTAACAGCTGAGGTTTGCCAAAACCTCAATCAGCTGCACTAAAAAAAGTAGTGGGGGGTTTTCCCTTCAAACCAATAAACTTTGTGAACGTACTACGATAAACAAATACCTCAGGCCTTTTGGAGAAATGTTTGAAATGATCTGTTTCTTAATAATCAATCACTAACCCTAAGAAATCTTTTTGATTTCAGAATCAAAGCTCAACAATGGATGACGATCAAGTAAATCAATCAAAAGACACTGCTATTGTTAATCAAGGTAAATGTTTAACTACGCTACTGTAGAAAAGTATTAATCATTCTTGCATGGCTCTTTGATTAATATTGTCTTTATTATATTACAGTTAGGCCTAGCATTATGTAAGCTCAGGGACGGTTCAAGGAGTTTTATTTTGGGTGGCAACCTATCATTTGTTTGATACCTACTTTCATGTGCCTATTTTCCTACTACATTTTCAAAGAAACACAGGCAATTAGCCTAGTAGTTTAAAATTGAATAAGTTATTCAAATACAAATTTTTATAGTCAAGTACCGTACGGTAGCACAGATTAAAAAGAGTATGTAAGTTTGCTGCTACTGGTAAGGTAAAAAGTGTTTTGACCAAATGTTAAATACTAGGAGGAAATAAATAAAATTTCATTTGATTGAAAATGCCATTAAACAAAGTAAAGTTTCCCTCCTTGCATGGGAAGAAAAATCCCATCCCAAAAATCAGGAAGGAAATAAGAATCCCGCCCACCTCCTCCCTTCTAGTTACCAAATGAGATATGTGGCTTGTGGGTTATTGTCTGTTCGTGGAAGTGAGCCCTACTGGTCAACTCAGATCAAGCGGAAAAAACTTTTAAAATTTATGTTTTTTAAGCTACACCTGATATGGTTACACCTACTGGTTGACTAAGTGCGTAATGTTTTATCTGGGTGTTGGGCCGAGTACAAATTATGTCTTGTAGCTGATTCACTCAATTACGTTTCCTTGAACCATTTTAATTTGACCTTCACCAAGTAAAACAGCATTGTGTGTTTTGTCTTCAGCATTTACTGATTTGTTATGTTGAATCTTTTTCATGTCACTTGAAGATGACCTCATCCTGCAACAACAAAGAGACTTGGAGAAGGAGGTGAGTATTTGTTTTTCATTTTGATGATATGTTATGCCTATAGTAAAACTACGTAAAAATTATTTTCAAAGAGACCAAGATATTAATAAATTTAATATAGGCCATAATGTTTATTTGTTAAACGCTTAGTGTAGCCTACTTAAATTATACCACAATATGAAGTAGATGGTGGTAGGGATGGTTATAGATGGTAGGCTATAATTAAAGTCAAATTAAAAACCAATATCGGGAAATGAGACTGATTAAGAAATAGGCTTTTTTTAAGTAGGGGAAAGTGGGGCACATTTGAACACTTTTTAAACTTTAATTTTTTTATCGGTGAATTTATGTGTTTTTAATAAAAACATTATTACATTTAGTTATAACACAATGTTAGCTTTAATTTAGTTATTTTTTAAACCCTCCAAGTTAACATGTTAATGTGTAGGCCTAATATCTGTTTTCTCAAGGGTATGTAAATCGTTCAAAAGTACCCCACCGGTGGGGTACTTTTGAACAAGAAGTGGGGTACAATTGAACACACTAATTAAGTAAAATAAAAAATTTTATTTTACAGAAATTGTTATGCATTAGAGTTGATAAAAACAATTCTTATTTCTATTGGAACTAATTCTTCATTTAATGTTTTAGATTCATATTATTTGTAGCTAAATGCTGCAAAGTTAATAGCAAAATTGTATTCGTTCGCTGCACGTGCAGTTCTCTCACTCATTGTTGGTTGAGGAAGCTTAAAGTCTTAAATTATTATTATTCATTACTGTCTTGTATAGGAAACAAATCTAGTCAGTTGGGGTACATTAGAACCACATGCTTACCAGGGGAAAACATGGTGTTCAAATGTACCCCTCAAGACTCTGTTCAAATCTACCCCACTAGGCACCATTTTGCAAAAAGTTAAATTATGTTTTCTTGAATTGTAATTTATCAATGTGAAGTGCATAATTGTATCTAAATATGTATAAGCCATAAGGTAAATTGATCAAACTTATCTCTAATGTAGTTTTTCAATGGGAAATTTACAAATCCCTACTGCTAAAAAAGTTTTCTTGTGGCGCTCTAAAACTTCTTTTCCCAACAACAAACTAATAACTGATCATAAATGGAGGGAGATGAATGCAACCTGTTGTCCTATAGGAGGGCTACATTTTACAGCTGGTCTAATGGCCTTCGAGTATAATAATTTATTAATAAAAAACTTGTTTTAAACAAAACGTTTTTAAACGCCCTAAAAAGTACAAAATAATTTACAAATAATTTATAAATATGTTGAGAGAGTATAAATACTTGTTCGATTTAAAACGAAAAACGTTGGGTGCATGCAATTAATTGATAATAATACATTAGTTCAGTAGGTGAAGGTAAACTATCTATTGCATGCACCCCACGTTTTTAGTTTTAAATCGTACAAGTATTTATACTCTCTCAACATATTTATAAATTATTTGTAAATTATTTTGTACTTTTTAGGGCGTTTAAAAACGTTTTGTTTAACCCTCCCAGTGTTACTTGACGAAAATTCGACAAGCAGCACACTTTGTGTAGTGTTACTTGTCGATTTTTCGACAAGCAGACATCGTTTACGGCGAAGGCTCTATAACTGACTGAATCGGATTGAACTGGATCGAGTTAGGTATCGTTCTTTCCGTTTCATTCTAAGCTTTCTCCAGAGGTCTGTCTCAGCGCTGTACGTTATCTGAGCCGATCGTAATATGTAGCAGACAGCTGACGTGCGTGTATTTGTAAACAGCTAGGTTACCCTCCGACCGATGACTGATGTGTTTTATTACGTTTATCATTGTTTTAGTGTTAAAAATCAAAAGTAGTGATATACGTGTTGCATTATAAGAAGATTTAAGTGGTTTTGAAGTGCTGGTTGATGATCCTGAAGAAGTATTTAGTGATATTGATGTAAATTATCAGCCAGATTCCTAGCTATGGTTAGGCTATGCATTCTTAGCTAAACGCTATGTACTGAAATCTGTTTTTTGCCCATAACTTATTTATTTGCAAATCTACTTCCTTATATTATTATATATTTGTAATCCTCATAAAATTTAGAACAAAGTGGCTATTTTCAAATATTTATAGGCCTATAATTTATACAATTTCATTGAGCGTGAACTTATTTTTTTTTGAAAATTTTCGAAATTATATTTTTTTTTACCTAAAATTTTTTTTTTTTAATGTTCCTTATGTTTTATATATAATATTGAAGCCCATGATTTTCCAAACAAAATGGTATATAGAACATTAGAATTAACATTGTTTTAAGCTTCTCAGATCCGTTTTAATAACACCTTGCAAATGCGCCAAAAATAGGTGGACATTAAGGCCTAAACACTTAAGACACCTAAACACTAAAGACACTTGGAGGGTTAAAACAAGTTTTTTATTAATAAATTATTTTCCATTTTTTTAGTTTTTTAATGCGTGAGGATGTTAAATCTATTTCAAGCATCTATATCAGATTAAGACAAAGGCATGTGGGAAATCTAAGGTTTATTTGAGTTTCTTTTCATATAATTATGTATTAGATTGAATGTATGGCCTACCTACTAACTATAAATATATCAATCTATTTAATTTATTGTTTACTTTATAGAACATTAAATAAATAACAATTTACATTATTAACAAACATCTTTATATCTGCAATCAGATTGTTTATCTATATTTTGAAATATTTGTATAAAGAATCTCTTGGGAGCATAACCTGTACCTCTTAACCTCTGCTCTTTGAACTGTCAAATTTAAGTATTAACAGCTGACTTAAATTAATTGATATATTTATTTACATTCTTTCAAAATGTAAACATGACAAATTTGGAAGCCCATGGGGCGTAGCCCAAGGGAAATATGAAAATTAAATTATATAATATCGCATTGTCATGACTTTGTGAGCTATGTTTCAAATCTCAAGTCTCTAGCTTATCGGGAACATCGTTTAAAATTGATATCAAAATTTGTAGGAAAGCGAGCTAATAAAAACAAGCCCATGGGGCGTAGCCCGAAAGAAAATATGAAAATTAAATTATACAATATTGCAATGTCATCCATTTGTGAGCTATGTTTCAAATTTGAAGTCTATAGCTCATCGGGAAGTATCAAAATTTGCAAGAAATCGATTTAATAAAAACAAGCCCATGGGGCGTAGCCCAAGGGAAATATGAAAATTAAATTGTATAATATTGCATTGTCTTCCATTTGTGAGATACGTTTCAAGTTTCAAGTCCCTAGCTCATCGGGAAGTTAGTATAAAATCGGTTGCAAAATTTGTAGCGGACAAGAAAGCGACCTAATAAAAACGTTTTAAAAATGAGGGCAAATTTAAACTGTTCAAATGTGCCCCATGTTCAAATGCTCCCCACTCTCCCCTATGTAGACTGTAAAAAATATATTTTTGTAACATTTCAAATTTAGCTCTTGCAAGGAAATTGTTTTTCCTGCTTTTATATTATAAACTATTTGTTTTTAAACAGGTCTACAGAGAAATTGTGATATTTTGTTTTTGAGTGTCAAAAGGGAGAAAAAACAATTTTTGTTAATACTTTAATACTTTTCGATGAAATGGCGACCATACAAAGTAGGTATTTTAAGCCAAGTTCTTGTAGTCTTGTAACTGACTAAGGCCGACATATTCCTTCCCTTAAATCCCCGTTCCCATGGTCCGATCATGCTGGTTCGCGAAACTCATTCAAGTTTCACCCGCCTCACACCTTTAAACCAAATTTCATATAAATCGGATAAAGATTACTCAAGTTATCGCGGACGAGTAGGACTTACAAATTACTACTGTAGATCAAATTTTGAATGAATGGTTTTTGGCCTCTGGGGACATCAAAATGGGAAAAAATCGGACCCGGGCCCAGGTATGGATCCAAATGCAACCAGGTATGAATCACATTTACAGTCAGGATGATGATAAGTATTATTTCAATATCCAATGTGAAACATAGTAGGCCTAGTTGTGACATACATATAATTTGGTTGGTTTAGTCAAATATGTTTTAGATATATATATACAGTATCCTACCTACTGTAATTTCGTATTCAACTGAACCTATTTAACCTATTATATAGGTCTACTAAAATTTTCTATTTTTCATTTATTTTAGATATCAGAAAAAATTGCATTGGTTGGAGAGAAAGAAAATCTCTTGTCCTTAGAATCAGAATATACTGCTGATGATATTTATATGCAAAAAGTACAAGATTTAGCGAGCAAGTACAAATATATCAGAAGAACCAGACCGGATGGAAACTGTTTTTTCAGAGGTTTTGGTTTTGCCTACTTTGAAAGACTGTTGGATAATCCAGAGGAGTACAAAAGGTATGATTGCCAACCAGGTTATTTTTACCTGAAAATATGGTAAATAAAGATTTTAAGTGTCTAACAGTTTCGCTCATGATAAATTGTCATATTATTTACAATATAGGCCTATAAGAAATGTATGTAAACGTAAAGTTGTAAATACTCTGTCCCATTTCATAGGCCTAATTGTTTATAAAAAGTGTTACAGAATTTAGGAATTTTAATTCAGTTTTAAGCCGCGTTCCTATGAAGCTGGCACAAGGCGTGAAGCACACATTCACACACAAGCACACAAGGCGTGGAATACAGTCTGTGGGAACGAGGTGTAGTGAGTTTGCCTCTGACCTCACCTGGAGTGAGGGGAGTTCTTGTGCGGCCACGCTTCGGATCAAACATATGTAGTTTTCAGTTGTGAACAGTTCTCAACTGCTTGCAGTTTTGCATTCCTGGCTGAAGTTTTGTTTGTTCCTAACGGTTTTTGTGTTTTTGTTAAGAAGTTTAAATGTGCTAATGCTAATGTCAATGCCATGAGAAACCCGTATAATTAATATTCAATACAATAAAACTGTGGAGTTCCTGGAGTTGTACTCTGCTGGTCATTGTACCGTGCAATCAATCGATGCACCTCTGCATTCCTTTCAAGTATCCACTTCCTTACCTAAAAACACCTTTTCTTCTTTTTCCTAATTGGTAGACTTTACTGTCGTAACTTAAAACTCTTCTTATAACTTTCACAACAATACACTTTGCCATCGTTGGCTTCCTGAAGTAAAATCCAAAAGATATACTAATGAATTTTGGGTCGTGTGAATAGTCCACGCCTTACAACTGGTAGTAATCTCATCCTCACTACAGGCGTGGCTCACGAAATCATGTTGACAAGCGTGCCGCGCATTTGTATTCACTTCAAGTGGGAACGCGGCTTAAGGTAAAGATAAACTGTAGAGATTCCATATCCAAGTAGTATCCTGTTTGAGGATAAAAACAACTTAGATCTGTTGAGAGTGTGTTAGAAGTTAAGGCCTACTACAGGGAGCGGCAGAAATATCTGACGGTTTTCAAGCGAGTACAGTCCGGCAGCTGAGTGGAGGGGGTTGGTGGGGAGCGGCTCATTATCAAGGTCAAGTGACCCCATTTCAGTCGCCATGGAGCAGTGGACCGGTATAGGTACATCGAACGTTTGTCGTTGAGGCGTATTTTAAAAGTGGCGATTCTGTTGTTGTTACGCAACGTAAGTTTCGTAGGCATATTATTGTGGCTCGTGGGGAACCTATCCCATCCTGATTCACCATTAAATTGTGGGTGGATACCCTTAGATCCACAGGATCAACTGCAAAACGTAGGCCTACAGGCCGTCCAAGGTCAGTGAGTACGCCGGAGAACGTGGAGCGAGTGCGACAAGCTGTGCTAACGAGCCCGCATCGCCCGGCGCGTAGACAAGCTGCTGCTCTTGGCATGTCTGATCGCTCTATTCGACGAATTTTGCACTCAGACCTTCACTTTCACCCATATAAAATAGCAATCGTCCAAAAACTTCAGCCTCACGACCACGCTAATCGTCAAACATTTTCAGAGCAAATGATTGATTTGATGGATGACGAAAAAATTCTTGTAATGAGTGATGAGGCCCATTTTCACCTAGATAGCTATGTAAAGAAACAGAATTTTAGGTACTGGTCGAATAGTTGATCCTGTGGATCTAAAGGTATTGACCCAAAATTTGATGGTGTTTCGGGATGGGATAGGTTCCCCACGAGCCACATTAAAATGCCTACGAAACTTACGTTGTGTATCATTAACAGAATCGCCACTTTTAAAATACGCCTCAACGACAAACGCGCGATGTATACCGGTCCACTGCTCCATGGCGACTGAAATGGGGTCACTTGACCTTGAGAATGAGCCGCTCATTCCACCACCCCTCTCCACACGGCTGCCGGACTGTACTCGCTTGAAAACCGTCAGATATTTCTGCCGCTCCCTATACTTTTGCTTTTATACACTTGAATTAGTGTTAAACTGAAACGGTAAACTTGTAAACTACAGGATCTTCCTTGTACCCAACCAACTGTCATAGTATGAAAAATTCATAGAAAATAGGCCTTCAAGAAGTGCCATCTATGAGAGACTAATTTAATATCTCTTCCCCATAGAAGAAATTGGCTAAAAGGTCCAAACCATCTGAGTTCATTCATTACGAGAAATGAATGTGATTAAGTTTCAAAACTACCCACACAACCACTACCTGCAACTACCTGCAATAGCAGTTAACATAACCTTTGATTACTAGGCAAGCACTATAACCACTCAGCCACCCAGCTGTGTTGTATATCTAACTAATGTTGAGTATGTACCAATTTTAGAATTTGTATCATCAAATACATTTTTGTGCTTGCAGTTTCAGGGAACTTGCTTTAAAAAGCAAAGATTTATTAATTGCCTTGGGATTTCCTAAATTTACATTAGAAGATTTTCATGATACGGTAAGTATAAATAAAGCGTCATACCTAGCTACTAGTTTGAGTTAAAATGGCTCATAATGAATTCCAAACAGATGAAATCCCTACTTGCTAAAACCAGAAATGGTCCTAATTAATTTTTTTTACTTTAAGTTTTAAAAAAGGAAAATATTTTGCAACCACTAAAACAACTTTAACCCCTTCATCATCAAGAGTAGGCCTACTTATCTTCATTCAAAAATAATGGTCCTTCTGAAATCAATTTATAATCTAGAAGTCAAATTTATAACTCATGAGATACCTCAACATATTCTTCTCTAAACAAACTAATTGCCCCCTCAAAATGTTTTACAGTTCATGGAAGTGATAGAGTTGGTAGGCAAGGGGCCTGAGTCTTACGAGGCGCTACACAAGATGTTCAACGACCAAGGCTACTCAGACTATGTGGTTGTGTATCTACGACTGATAGCCTCTGGATACCTACAGAAAGAGGCGGAATTCTATCAACATTTCATCGAGGGAGATCGCACGGTCAAGGACTTCTGCAGTCAGGTCAGTCTTAGGTTTAGTGGTAGTGGTAATGTTTTCAACATTAGGAATTATAACAATTTATTTGAATTTCTTGTGTGATTAGATTTTGGATTTGTTTACTGTGTTTGCAATGAAGTATACTGCGTTCCCTCACAGAATGTCAATCCCTTCCAAATCACTAATCCTTTATGAACCATGAGATTCTCTTGACAGTGGTTTTCCTCTCTTCCACTTAGAACTTTCCTTAGGTTTTCCTCTGTAGACCTGTTAGGGCAGGCATTCGAACAGTACTTGAAAGCCTGTCACCTCAATTAATTTCCTGCATTGTTTAACGACGATGAAGGATTCGTTTCCTTAAACTTCTCTTTCATATCCGAGCTAGAAAAATCAACGTTTCTCCGTACATTTAAATGATGCATGATGTTTCAGGAGGTGGAACCGATGTTCAAAGAAAGCGACCACATTCACATAACGGCTCTGTCCTCCGCACTGAAGGTCGGGGTGAGAGTTCGGTACATGGACCGAGGCAACACACCCGAGGTGATTGCTCATGACTTTCCCGACCAGTCTTCACCAGCCATTCATCTGCTATACAGACCTGGGCATTACGACATACTGTATCCGGGATAGAGGTATGACCTAAGAAATATTACAACAGAGAAGTGTACAGTTGACTAGGATTTTAAATACAAAAACATTTGTTCACAGAAAATAATACTGAAATCAACTCAAGAGTCCTTGGAGCCTAGACGTTGTAACTCATAAAACAATAAGAAAAGAAGGAAGAAAATTTCTAATCTCACAGTGCACTAGATATGAACATAGATGAACAAAATTAACATTGCTCTTATAGTGGGCAAATCCAAGATGGCCGTTGCCTCCATGGACTCCCTTGGAAAACAATTACAGTACAAAACTAGCAACGAACAAAACAACAAAAATTTCTGATCTCACAGTGCACTAGATATTTAAATTACAATCACTTTGGTATTCGAATAAATATTCTTGGATGATAACCCTTCAACAGCGGTTTGAAATAATCCAAGTTGGCCGCTAGCCTCCAAGGACTCTTAAGCTAGAAGTCAAATTAATGTCTTATTATGTATTCTTTTAGTACACTAGAGTCCCACCAATCTGAACTGATCAGGACTAAATCCGCAATAACTGTTCTGATCAGACGAAAATGCAGTAAAATTTATCAAATATTAAAACAATTAGTTTTTATATCTGTAAATGGCCATATTTACTGTAATCAAAACTAGTTTGTAATTGTCTTCCCACAATTGCACCTTTCTTAATATGTGATGAAGATAACCAATTGAACGTCGTTATTGAATAGGCTATCGCTATAGGTGATTTTTTCAGAATTTCCCTCTCCCATACAAAATGTAAGGTCTTTTTCCTGGTCATGAAAATTCACATAGCCTACAATTAGTGGCCATGTGGTTGAGGACTTGCTAGTCCTAACTTTGCCTCTCAAATAAAGACATTTTTCATTATATTTCATACAATTCTTGGTTCTTCAGTATCCCAGTCGGCTGGACAACCTGGTCAGTACTTCAGAACAATAGCTTTATTTTTCATTCATAAAATCTAAATCTAAGGGAAGCAAATTTCTTTTGAGCCAAACTGTTAGGGGAAGTAGGATTCTGACCCATACCACAGAAAATACCCGGAAAATCTCTTTGCTTTGTTTTTCAATAAGTTGGTAAGAAGCAAATTAAGGTGTGTAAGAAAATATGGGGTTCACTAGAACACTTGATCCTCATATAGCCTTCCATTGAAGTAAATTTGTTGTTCCTAATACAGTACTAACATTTTCAGATGTAAAATGTGCTCAAAATCTTGTGATCTCCATAAAGGTTGAAGACTCATTTCATTCTGGTTATGAATGCACTGTTTACTATTTAATGAATTTTGTAATTGTGAAACAATAAATTATTGTTACGACAAAGTGGAATATTGTTCTCTTGGACCTGATTAACATTTTAAAACTGTTGTTGATCCTATACATTTTTGAGCGTTTGAGGCTAAGTATCCATTAGATAGACACACTTTCTTATTCTGACTTGTTGGTATGCAATTTTTGTAATGCCACAAACATTGTACATAATGTGAGTAAAATAAAAGATCTGTTACCAGTGTATTACAGATTGTGCATTTTGTCCGTTTTTAAATTGAGAGTTAAAAAGGTATTGATTATTGATACCAAAATGTTTTGTTTTGTCTGCTTTTTAATTTAGGATTGGTAATTTATTGATTATTCGTAACAAATTCATCTATGTGGTATCTGTTTTTGGATAAATGATTGTATTAACAACTGTGTTGTTCAGTCATCTATATAGACAATAAAACAGGTTAAATACCTAAATGGGCTAGGTAGCAATAATGGAAGGTAGAAACAATTTTCTTGGATATTAATACAATTTAATTTCTATCAGTCAGTCAGTTCTTTTGCCAAATGTAAATCCATTTAAGAAAAATAACTAAGTAAAACTAAATGTAAACTATATAAAAGAACTAGTTTTTATAAAAACTAAAAATCAAATCCTAGGTAAAAAAAAATCGGTACAAAATATTGATAAACCAACAATAGTTATTTGTGCAACTAGTGAGAAAAGTGAGTGTGTAAAAACACATAATTTACATAGCCTATATACAATTATTTCTCAAAAAGACTATATTTATCAATGTGTGATTCAAATCATATGTTTTGTTTGTTTATACATATTTTAAAAACAAACTTATAATTATTACAGTCCACTGCTACTTTCAATAAACATGTACTAGATATTTTCTATCTTTTATTTTACAATTAATTTCAATTTCACTTTACAGTGAGCAATTGACTCACTCGAGAGAAATCCTTACTCACGAGCCGTAGGCGAGTGAGGAATGGTTTCTCGAGTGAGGCAATTGTACTTTGAACTCGAGTTGCACATTATACTTTTCCTACAGTTACCATAAAACAAATAAATTGGTCTTATGTTTCTTCAAACATAACCTATTTTTACACAGAAGTGAACTTTTAATATAACATTTAATGTGAAGTGACAAATACAACAGTACAACAGCTGACCAGCTGATTTACAGCCAGTGCTGCCAACGTACTTCGCGCGCATACAACGTTGCCTGCATGTTACGCGCTCACTATTTCGTGCCTTCACGTTGCAAATCTGGAGTGAGACAAAGTAATTAGAGTAAGACAATGTTAACATTGTCTCACTGATGAGCGAATTGGCCACTTTGCTTTCTCAAATCAGTGAGAGAACATGTACATTGTTAGGTAACTGTAGGAAAAATTATTTATCATGTTTCTTTACAATGGAATGAGAATGTAAAGAGAAGGCTGTAAGTTGTAAAGCTGTTAAGGAGAAGAGTTACAGAACCACTGTTGATTGTTGAAATTTCATTAACTAACCAAACTCAATCAATTGAATATAAGCTTGATTAGCTGCCTATCAGAATAAAATTAAATAGCAGTATTGTTATGTAAACGTTTTTTCAAACAAATTACACATTGTATGCTCATACTTTGTGTAAAAATAATATTATTTAGGCAAAGCCTTAAAAAAAATTTTTTGTAAGGTGTGACTTGTAGTTTTTGGTACGATACCTTTTGTTGTGTAAAATTAACTTTAACTGGTCCAGTGGTTTTTTGTAATAGGAAAAAAACCATTACACAGACAATATTACATTAGACAGATAATTCGTCAGAGAAATGAACCATTATAAACGATAGTGAACCCCCAATATAACAAACCTCGAAACAAATTCATTGATACATCAATTTTTCAAATCCCCTAGAACTCTTCTTAAGAAACTATATTAGTTTATTTCATCTTAACAAAATAAACAAACTGAACTCTAAATAATCTATTATATTTTTTTCAAGCAAACTGAGTCAACCTTGATTTAGCAAGATTATTTTAATTAGATTAGAATCTCTAGATAGATTTTATCATCTCTATAAAATTCAATTTGTTCAACTATATCTCATTAATTAGGAACGTAACATACTAAAATCAATTGACATGATAGCTTAGTCAAAGCACTTTGATCAGTATTTGTAGAAAAGTTGATTCTGTTTCCACAGAAGGTTTAGATGGTAATAGTAACGATGAATGGCAAACACAAAAGGAAACTATGGGCTCAACATCATAACCTAAAAGCAAACCCCTATCACCAAATTTATCAAAGAGGATGAACAAAGCCTGTTCAATGAGTTAAACAAAATACATCCTGATAAGGGCAGTTAATTTTCCAGTTTCCTAATTTATTGTTGGTTCTGTATAAATTTAACTTTCTGTACCTTGTGATTTTATAATTTTTAACTTTTCTTACTTTTAATGTATAAGCCTAGAACTAGCATTGTATTCAGTTTTTTCTTATTAAAGGTCCATTGTATAGAACGGAACCAAAAGGTAGTTTATACATCAAACCTTTTCTAAAGAGTGAGAAACATACATAACGAATATGGTTTGTGAATCGTGCCGAGTTTTCAGCTTGCCAATCTTGAATATAACAAACCTTATTGTTAAGAAATACTGAAATAAATTCTAGTTTGGTCCCTTGGGATTCGTTGTCAAGGTTGCATCTCTTAAGTAGACAGCATCATTGTGAGGGTCTTCTTCCATAGACGACAACCAGAGAGTTCTGAGTGAGAATCTCCCCAGTGACAGTTTCCGAGATAAGTTGTTGGTCTTCTATCACTTGCTCAAAGCACGCCATATATTGCTCTCGTGTTGACTGGTTCATTCTCTTCACAAATGGGTTTACGGCCTCATTCGATCCTAAAACATTTAATTTAACAATAGTCAAATAATAGGCTAATCTTGGACCACACTGGATAAGCAGCCAAAAATTGTTAAGTAAAATGATTTTAATAGGCCTTTGTGTTTGTTTGGCTCATTACTTTGTTTAAAATTTCCCTATTTGGTTCAGTGATTTTTGTATGCACTAGAAACAAAACAATACAAAAACAGAAACCACTCTGATTTTACAATATTCAAGGTATCAATAAAGTTTCAATAATCATTGACTTTGGATACTGTAGTAAACATATGGACCAACCACGATTACAATAAAAATTATAATAATTCAGAGATAGTACAACTCTGTAATAAATGAAAAGGACGATACATGTATACAGTTGAGGAGTTTGAAATCCACAAGGCGTAGGAAAAACAACCACAGCAAACAAAAAGAAAAATTATCAGAAACATTATCTACAATACTGCTATTCAAATCCATAATAAACAGACAAGAGCGAGATAAGGATAGCACGGGAGGATGTGTTGGGTAGGGGTCAACTCCGACGACATGTGTCATTCGCGACTCACCCTCAGCCGGCACCTTGTGTTTTGTTACCGTCTGGTCGACCATTGCTAAATGTTTCATTTCAGTTTTCCGTGTAATGTTGTTTATTAACTACTATACAGTACATACTCAACCACAAGGAATATTTAATGACAACTTGACATTCTTCTGACCTGATGATATACTCCATCCGAAACACAAAACAACTAGTCCTAGCAAACTACAAAGGGTAGTTTTGGACAGTAACAAGGTAATAAACCAGCATAGTATACCGGACCAGCTGAAGCCAATAGAGCATAGTAAAATGAATACATCACAGAATACACTGCAATCTGAGTCTAATACAGTAATATATTTTCACCCATTACCTTTGTGAACTGTGATAGCTGTTGATATAAAAATGTGATATACTTTTTTTCCTACACCCAGCATACTTAGTCAGTGGATTAATTTAACCACGTTTTAACACCAAATTTGACTGTAACTTTAAAATGGAAATGAAACGTCTAGCTCAATCTAGAGTCAAATATAAATCAAACCTTTGATAGTTTCAGCACTCTACTTACGCATCAGTTTAGCCATGGAGGGGAAAGATACAGTCTGTTTCCGTTCCTCCAGCGTTATAATTTCTAATCCTTGACGCCTCACTATTTGCTCTATGTCGTTGCAGACATTTGCTGAGTTGTAAAATTTTGGAATGTACATGTCGACATCCTGAAAAATTATAAAGCTATTAAATATATTTTTATTGTTGAAGGTTTAATTCAGATACATACATACAGATACATACAAACATCCAAACCTTCACATTTATAATATTAGTAATAGGTTATATGATCAAGTTTGATGAAACCTACCTTCATATAGGTCTTCCACTTCTCCATCTGACTGAGGATCTTGTATATCAGGAAAGTGCTGTTTTGCGGTGCCATGATCACCAGAAAATGGCCCCCTGGCTTTAAGAGGGTGAACATGTTCTTGAACGCTTGCCTACAATGCAAACATTTCTTAAACAAAAATGTCTACTCTTAGAGTGCCTACCCTTTTTTAAGGAATAGATTTGGGCATATCCCAACTCCTTGCGGTGGTCAGATATCTGTCAAAACCGATTCAAATATCTATTTCAACAAGAGACAAGACAGATTGCTTGTACAGTTGACATACTTATTTAATTACAAGGATGGAATGACTAATTTAGCCATGTAAATATACAAAACTATCCAATCTAAGATCAATCAATATGGATAAATTGTGTTATGGTTCTATAGTAACTTGCAACACCAAAATTTAAAAAAAAATTATTTTTTATACTTAAAAGTATAAAAAAATGTTATTAGTTTCTATATTTTGTTACCATTGCGGATGAACAATACTTACTCTTGATCTTGTATCCAGTGCAGACAGTAAAATGAGAATACTTTTGAAAACCTTTGCTCTGGGAGGAAATTTGTTATGTGCTTTGTTGAAAAGTCAACTGCCTTAAATTCCACTTGATGTTTTGAATACTTATTGTTGGCATAATCTACCATTGACTTGCTGATGTCCACTCCAACCTAGGAAAACAGATCAAATAACTCTCCAATTTGGAACCTTACATAAATATAAACTTTAACAAATCTGAAATCTTTTTCCATCAGCATAAATATAGTTGTTCCAGTTTTGAAATTACAGTTAAAATTAAAATGTTAAACAAAAAGTAGTTTTAAAAAATAGAAAGAAATGTTTGTGTCTTTGGCAAGGTAATACTATATTTAGTGTATGTAGTTCAAAGTATTGGGAATACATATTGATTCAAAATTAAATTGGGAAGATCATATTTAATATGTAACAAAAGAATTATTATCTTTTCGCTATGCAATAAGTGTTATAATTGATACAACATCTCTTGAACAACATGTGGTACAACCTTTGAACAACATTAACTCACCATCACCAACAATGAACTTCAAACAAAGAATCTCTTGAAGTTTGTAAATTATTATACTGTGCCTACATTGAATCTATAATAGGATATGGGATTGTACTCTCAAGATCCTGTTCCAAAACAAAAAAAAAACTTCTTAATGCACAAAAATAAATTTGACGGACCATGGTTAAAGTGTCAAAAAAAAGTTGTAATCCTCTGTTCAAAATATTTGGGTTATAACTGCTACGAGCCTGTAAACTTTTTATATGATTTAACGATTTAACTATTATTGAATAACAATTTAGACAGTTTTGAACATTTTTAACTTACACATAATTTATTCCTTACGTCAGAGACAGTTATTTTAATTTCCAACATGACTCACTCTTTCTGAACATACACCCAAAACGGCTGTACATTTTTTAGTAAATTACCAAAAAGATTTGCCCGCAATCCAAAAACATAAGCTATTTTTGAAAAAGCTACACAAGTTATTAATTGAAAAAGCATTACTACAAAATAGAAGATTTTTATTCTGATCTTTTTTTGAAAAGGACAAGACTTATTTTACAAACCTAATCCTGTATGAATACACACCCCTGAAGGTGTTCATTAAGTTATTTAGTCTTAATTGTAGTTTTTTATAATGATATCTTTTACTTGATGTCAGCAGTAATAATGTTTAGTTCTGTAAATTTACTACTGTAGTTATAGTTTACTTATTCATATGACGACTACTATGTTTGTAGTTTGTAAGATGTAATGATTTGATTGAACGATTTGTTGATGATAAAGATTTAAATTTGTAAAACATAAAAGAAACTATATTTTACAAGGGTAGTCCGTTAATTACTGTCAGGTTCTCCAGCTCCTGTTGCAGCCAAGTGAGCTAATTCAAATCTTTTTGAACAACATCATGTTTCTTACTTCATACATAAGTATTCTTGATTGTCAGCACACCTATTGGACAGTTAGTTTCATCATGTTATTCAAAAACAAGAAAGAAAATTTACACTTTGTCAAGTTTAAATCACATTCTGCGATTAGACTTCTGTTCCTAAACTGTGTCTTCTGTGTCTGAAGACACAATCGCTTTTGAGGTCTATCGCCGGTTGACAAATGTGAATAAAGTTAAGTGTTTTGCCGTAGAAAATGTGTTTAAGGGGTGGAAAGAGTTTGGAGGTGGTTTTAAACATTTGCATTATGTTTTATATTGTGTAGGACTGCTGTCATTTACCAGTCTCGTTTAAAGCAGCAAATAAAGTTAGAAATTTTGCATGCAGGTCATGGTGTAACTGAACAAGAGAGATTGTTGAACTAATTAGGGGTGTCTGTATAAGTATATGAAGGACTGCATCATCCCTGGAAGTCTGAAACTTGCCTAACTAAAAGCAAAGTTTCCTCAAAGACAATCACTGTCGAATTGAATTTGATAACGGCTCTTCTGCAAACTCCCTAAGCAACTAATGCACATTTTCTTCCTCAAAACACTTTTCTGCATACATGTCTGACGACTGACAATAATAATCAAGAGGGATTGATCTTCTTACTTGGTTGAGCGTCAATTTTCTTTCACAACGTTTTTCTTATACTCTACTGATAAAAAAAAAAACTTACTGCCTAAAAGGCGTAGGGAGCAGGTAGGATAGTAGTGAGTGGATGAAGTAAAAAACACAACGTTGGTCTAAGATTTAAATTAGCTTGCTTGGCTACAATAGGAGCTTGACGGAGAACTGGAGACCTTAATTTAGGGACAATCAAAGTTGGCAAAGAAAATTACCAGTTTAGCAGAGACAGGCAGTCGAGGCATTAGTACTTCAACAGTAACATCTCCTGGACCACAGCCAATATCCAACACAAGCTCTCCTTCTGTCCAGGACAGTCTAGTAGTAAACTCAGCCAACACGGTCTCTGTGTCCTGACGTTGCATAGAGTTGTACAAAGAGTACAGTTCTGCATTGTCCATCACAACACCTGTCAACATTACATGTCTAGTTAGCATCTCCTGAACAACAGCCAATATCCAACACAAGCTCTCCTTCTGTCCAGGACAGTCTAGTAGCAAACTCAGCCAACACAGTCTCTGTGTCCTGACATTACATAGAGTTGTACAACAAGTACAGTTCTTCATTGTCCATCACACCTGCCAACATTACATGTCTAGTTAGCATCTCCTGAACAACAGCCAATATCCAACACAAGCTCTCCTTCTGTCCAGGACAGTCTAGTAGCAAACTCAGCCAACACAGTCTCTGTGTCCTGACATTACATAGTACAGTTCTGCATTGTCCATCACACCTGTCAACATTACATGTCTAGTTGGCATCTCCTGGACCACAGCCAATATCCAACACAAGCTCTCCTTATGTCCAGGACAGTCTAGTAGCAAACTTGGCCAACACAGTCTCTGTGTCCTGACATTACATAGAGTTGTACAACGAGTACAGTTCTGCATTGTCCATCACACCTGTCAACATTACATGTCTAGTTAGCATCTCCTGGACCATAGCTGATATCCAACACAAGCTCTCCTTCTGTCCAGGACAGTCTAGTAGTAAACTCAGCCAACACAGTCTCTGTGTCCTGATGTTGCATAGAGTTGTGCAAAGAGTACAGTTCTGCATTGTCCGTCACAACACCTATCAACATTACATGTCTAGTTAGCATCTCCTGGACCACAGCCAATATCCAACACAAGTTCTCCTTCTGTCCAGGACAGTCTAGTAGTAAACTCAGCCAACACAGTCTCTGTGTCCTGACGTTGCATAGAGTTGTACAAAGAGTGCAGTTCAGCATTGTCCATCACAACACCTGTCAACATTACATGTCTAGTTAGCATCTCCTGAACCACAGCCAATATCTAACACAAGCTCTCCTTCTGTCCAGGACAGTCTGGTAGTAAACTCAGCCAAAACGGTCTCTGTGTCCCAGTGTTGCCACCCTTGGTTAGGGAAAAATCGAGACATGGCCCCCCTCCACCCAGGATTGACATAGGCTTAAACACGGGCATAAGTAACCAAAATCAGGACGGGTGGCAACCATTCGCAGGTACGCTAGATCATAAGCTTTAAAGAGGCATCTCAATTGTTAAAGGGATGTAACAGGGAAAACCCTTAGGGCCGGTTGCTGAGCTCGGGATTTAGCTAAGTTCTAGACTTAAACCGGCTTTAGACTCTGGAGTCTAAGAAATGGCTTGCTGAGATAGGACGTTAACGAAGTCCAGAACTTATTAGACTCCGGAGTTTATTTGGCTGGTTAGACTCTGGAGTTTAAAAATTGACTTGCTGAGACAAGGACCTATAAGTCCAGAACTTAACTTAGATTCTCGTCTCTTGCTGAGACAAGGATCTAGTAAAATCCGTTAAGTCCAGAACTTAAAACACTATGATTTTAGATCCTCGGCAAGGGCAGGATTTAAATTAGATTCTAGACTTAACAGAGTGTATTAACCTTGTTTGCGCGTTATATCATCATCATATTAGGACGTATATATTAGGTATTCATATTATGTATCATCCTAGAAACTGGAATTGATAATTTAAGACATCCTATTTTTTTTTAATTGACAAACATCCGCTAACAAAAAGGAATATTTGTTTGCCGGTGATTTTTTTTACTACGAAACCGGTGTGTTTAATTTACAAAAATGACAATGTTTCAATTTTTACATATTGCAATAAAACATTGTTTTAGAAAAATCCTTGTAGTAAATTTTAGTAAATGTAATTCCTGCTCTATCTTATAAGTAGTTTGAGACACCCAACATGCAGAGTCGAATGGGTTAGAGTTATGACTTCCATTCTTTTTGAATATCATACTCGATTGTGAACTAATACTTACTCACTCATACTTAAATGCGACATGCACTTATGTACTATATTAAACTTTTACTACGACTGTACTATATAGTATTTTATCATGGGCTTATTAAAACATTACATATTATACTTTTAACTCAGTATATTCGACCAGTCCCATTTGTAACCATATTTATAATTTACAAAAATCTACTTGGAAAAAGAGTATGTAATATAAATAGTAATTAAAATATTATTCATGTAATTGATTTAACTATATACAAAAACACAAGAACTATATACACAATACTTAACCTTATATTTACATTTTTGTTTCTACACAAGCTCTATACCACACACATTTTACAAAGTCCATAGCCCTATTTTACCCTCTCCTAACTGTAAAGGTTTTTCTGTTAGCCACTTTGCCTTTAGATTACTTTTTTCAAGTAGGTGTTAGGGTTGGTACTATTCATGAGTGGATACGTGTCTATTTGAACTGATTTCAAACATTTTACAAATTTGAAAATGTTTGGGCCAGGCGACGTACAAGCATACAATATTACTTTATTTTGTAATTTGTGTAGCTTGTAAGTTAGTATTTTCCTGTTATAAAACAAAATTTCAGTTTTACAAATAACAAGACTAATATTATTAGTTTGTATTTTGTTATGAAACAGGTCCCAGACCTGGTATTTTTAGTTTTAGTTTATATGTTGTGTTTGTTTAGGGCCATTTTTTTGTTCATGCTGAATTTTATGTTGAAAAAATAACATGGACCATATCATTTGTACTTCCTGTACAACAGCTATAATATTTCGGCTCTACAAGTTTTGACATTTAAATAGTTTCCAGTAAATTGAGTCTTTCGTGAGTTTGCACCTACCCAGAAATTGTTAAATTAGAATAATCAACACGTTATAAAACTACTCTTTTCGATTTTGGTTATCTAATATACATAATTTATCTAAATAATAATTTATAAAAATAATAATTGATCTAATAACATAATCTATCTAAAAACATTAATTTATATTATGAATGAACATGAGCTTAGTATTGACCTTTGTGGTACTCCAAATCGCATTTAACTGGATTTGCATTGATTTTTTATTTCAACCTTATTATAACGCTTTTCTCAGCCATTACCTCTAACTATAATATTTTCGTTACAAATATTACGACCCTATATAAAAAAAAATTAAAATAATAAGTTTGCCACTCAATTTAATTGAAAAAATATATATTATGATTCGGTCGTTGTCACTCTCTCCGTCACATTCAGCTGATAGGTCTAACTGTCAAAAGTGACCAAAAACGCACGATATAAGTAGTTTTGAAGAAAGTGTCACTTTGAAATTCTAGCATTAGCCAATCGCGAGTATGTATCGTGGGGTGATGTCTATTGTTTACGAAGCGCGGAGCAGACAGCCCGACTCGGCTGTCACCCATTGCCAACATCACAACGCCAAATACTCTACAATTCCCTCAATCTTTATTACTTTAAGTTCTGGACTCAAATAGGTCCAGGACTTATAGATCCTGGAGTTTCAGAGATAGATCCGCGTCTCAGCAAGACGATTTAGATCCGAGAGCTTATTTGAGTCCTGGACTCATTAAGTCCAGGACTTATAGATCTGGAACTCAGCAACCGGCCCTTATTGTATCTATATTATTAATTCTGTAAAGCTACGCACGCACTAGGGTGGCACGGCACAGACGTACGGGACAGGACAACCGCACATCCGCAATTTAGGACAGTCTGCGAGCTAAAACTGTGAGTCCGACTTCGATGAAGACCGTAAGACCAGTGGAGAATCGCGGAAGTGTTGCCGGCCGTCCCGCCGGAGTGGGCGCACTCATTACATTCAATATTCAATGTTACCGTATTTACTTTTAAAAATTGCCGTGCCGCCCTAGTGCGTGCGAAGCTTAAGAGATGTTTTAAAATCAAAATTGTGATAGTTTGACAGCTTGAAGGATGATAGGAGAGGGCTCAAATTAAAGGTCTTGATCCCAGGGAGTCGGGAAAAATAGCAGATTATGTCCAACTCTATCACAAAATGAGTAACAACAAAAAATATCTTTTATTTAAAATGCATTGGAATTGAAAACTTTTGCTTTGTTTACATTAAACATGTGTTTACAAATGCATTATCATTTTTATTCTACTTTCAATTTAATTCTGTTCACACTACGTCAAGTTTGTTTACTAACCAATAAATAATTTTGATAAATTCTACTTTCACTAAAGTGATCTAAAATTATAACCTACAATTTTCAGAGCTGATGCATGAATGATCATTTGATTCTTAGTTTGTTTAAGTATAAATACCCCCGCCGCAGCAAACCTGCAGACTAAGCGAATTTCCATATACACAGCTGGATTCCACTAAATTATTCCCTTAAAATTGTCAGATTTATTTCCTATTTAAACATCATTAATATTAATGAGTACTTAGGTTTGCTGCTACAGGGAAGAAAATAGGGGTTTTTATTGAAATATTAATAGCTCAGTATAAAGTAAACAAAATTTCATTAATATATGTCCATACACAAGCAAGCTACAACACTGTATTTATTCTCCATAAGAATAACATGGTAATTTTAAATTTACATTATTTTGTGATTTTTCCGTAAACGTTAGGCATGCAACAATGCTTCAATATACTAAATTATTTGTTTTTTTGAGCTCTACAAAATGGTTAAGAAAGAAATTGCAAAATTTTATGTTTTCAGGGTGAAAAATTAGAAAAACCCATTTTTACCCCATAAAACCCCCCATAAACCCCTGTTCCCATAGTTCGATCATGCTGGTTCGCGAACTCGTTAGAATAAATGTAGGTTTACACGTTTATACCAAATTTCATCAAAATCGGATGATTTTTGCTCGAGTTATCGCGCTAACGGACACATATATAAATATATATATGTATATATAAATATATATATATATATATATATATGAATTTGAACGGATGGTGTTTTTGGCCTCTGGGGACCTCAAAACGAAAAACTAAATCGGTCCCGGGTCCAGGTCTTACCATGAGACCTACGGTAATAGCTTATTCCCTATATGGGAAATTCGCTAAAATAATTAGTTTTACCTTTGAGCTTGGACTTATGTCCCTACATGCCACTAGTTCACTATACAGATAGATATATATGC